GCGTAAATTTTTCGCTTTTATGGAAAAATAAAGAATCAAAGCAAATATACTTAGGATAATGGACCAAAACTGAAAAAATTTCCTCTCCCTCCGAAAATAAAATATTGAAACTTTGACCTTGAATTTATTGGATTATCGAAATATTTAATTTGACTTATCTTCTAAGTCCTAGTTCCGACAACAATTCCGTCAAAACTTCCGAATTACTTAAGCTAAAGTAAAAGATTTAGTATATATTCACTGTATGTTAATAAAGTAATCAGAGTGGAATAAAAATAGATTATAAAATTTACGCTGATGCAACTTTTTGTCTGACTGCACAACATGTAATGGAAGAGAAGGCTTGTAGAGATCTGTTTTTGACATGCCTCTAAAAGTAGATGTCATACTCCTTTTGTCTCTTCGATGTCAAAAAACTTTCCTTTGAGAGGCAACTTTAGTTTTTGGGAAAGAAAAAATCACAAGAAGACAAATTTGAAGAACATGCAGGACGATTGAGTACACATACTTATTTTCGGAACACAAGCGGTTCTCCGACTGGTTATTGAATAATGAAAAGATGCATTGTCATGCAATACAAAACATTCGGAATAGGTTTTCTGACTGAAAACGTAAGATTAAAAGTCATCTGCTTAATTCACAGTCATTTACAAGTCAACTACTCGGGAAATTGCAGAATCGTTTTGATCCTGAGCTTGTAAGACAAACCTAATATCACTGGATTTAAACACTTCTTTAATCTTCCGAGAACGTTCCTTCTTTAGCTCATATTCCAAGAATATTAAGTGAATACAATTATTGCAAAAGCAATTGAATATTCATTTGCACTACGGCTTGGTAGTTTACTAACGAATTAACAAAACTTAAATTCTGCTTTTTGTGTCTAACAATACAACAATATTTTAAATATTTAGAAATAAAATATTAAATTGGAGATTTAATTGGAGCCTCACCAGTTTCCTAGCATTTGAAGATTGTTAAATACTAATTGTTTGTTGCGAAGTCTAACCCAGGCTGCATAGGTGGTTTTCGTAGTTTTCTAGGTTCTCTTTACAAAGGTTCTCTATGAAAGCATCTTAATCAAATAGCTCCCATGTTCTTTCTATGTTCAAATAACCAACTAACCTAGTTTAAGCGCGATTTCTAAGTGAAGTTACTAGCAAAACCCGAATACTCATTAAAAATCATGTAACTTGCCAATCGGGAGTAACATGAAAGATGCGGCGCCAATAATTGAATTGCTGCTACGGTACGCTGTTTTTAAACTTAGATGGTCGTTCCTTAATTAAATAGCCCACCAGCGGCCGAGCGGTAAAGACGCTGAACACTGGTAATTCGGTCCGAGGTTCGAATCCCGCGAACGGGCTGGCTGCAGGGGCGTTTTCGTGGTTTTCCCTATGTGTAACGTGTATACGAGCCAGTTTCCCTTAGAAAGTCCTCCACGAAGGAATCCCTCCCTTTAGGCAGATAACCCTCGTGTGCTTTGCGATAATTAAATAATCCAATCCAATCCAATCCTTAATTAAATGTAATTGATTTGTAACTTCTACTAGAGCTGACGGTTAGAATTGAAGTGTAAATAAATAATATCGTGTGCAATATTTACAATTTATAAGAAGGATTTATTAATAACCGTAATAATTATTTATTATATTACTAATGATTAGGATTCAGTTCTTGACAATTACATTCTAAATTAGAATTTTAAGAATATAATGAAAATACGCTACGCACAAAAATACATTTTAAGATAAAAAAATGAGTTGATTTTTTATGTTTTAAAATTTTTGAATTCATTTAATAAACATCGTATCCTCGTTGTTAATTGAATCCAGAATGTTGGGTGTCGTTTATATAATTATTCTTACTTGTCCACAGAATCTGCTGACTTATCCAGCCATTAAGCAGCTGCAGATCATTTCTACACAACCACCGAACTTAATTAATTCAGTCTCTAGAGGGTTGTATGTTTATATCATAATTTGACTTTTATAAAAATGATTATTCTAAATCTTATGTCTCTATAAAAATATCCTGTGCTTTAAAAATATGTATCAGCCGCTCTTTCAGCCACTTCAAAAGCAACAGTTTGTTTTTAGAAATAAATTATGCAGTTACTGTCATAAAATTCAAATAAACATCAAACAAAAATTCTCAGTTTTAGACAATTCGATTTAAACGAAGTAAAGCAGCAGACGATAAAACGAAGGTAAAAATTTACTCATACAAAAATTTACTCTTATTTTTTTTTAAAAGATATAGAGAAATTAAAAAAATAGTTAAAAATTTGAATAATATCATCTATAATTTAAAAAAATAGCTTTAAATATAGTATTAATAAATATTTATTGCGCATCATTGAGGGAAAAAATGTCATATAATTAATTCTCCGTAAAATTTTACTTGAAATTTAAGGTTAAAAATAGCTGTGGCAATTCAGTGTAACAAAAATCCATAGACCACATTTGGCGTTATTATCGCTCAAAAAAAGATGCCAAATTTCAAAACGCGAAAATATGTAAATTCGTGTATATCTTAGAAAATTTTGAATAAAAAAGCCTAATTTTTTGCAGATATGCTTAAAAATACACCTACTTTAAGATGATGGTAAAAATTTTATAGGTTATAATTCAAAATTTTTTTCGAAAAATTTATAAAATTATTTTAAAATAGAAATTTTAAAAATAAAACACAAAAAATGGGTAAATTTTTATTGGAATGAACCTAAATTTCGAAATGTGAGAGAAAAAATCAATCAAAAAGTTTAATAATAAAAGAGATAATAATAATATTTGCCAAATTCAAATAACATTGAGGAGCTAAAATTTTGAGAGCTAATATTTTAAAAACTACTCGTACGATTTTTACAAAACTTGGTATTCTTGCATAATTTGAGTCGTAGAATCGAAATATGGAAAAATATTGGTATGTTATTTCAGAAAAAGTCCAATTTTGTGTCAAAATACCTATGTTAGAATAGTGCTATATATAAATCTAATATATATCCTAAGTCGCGCTTTTGAGACATGAAAAACGCAGGTTGAATTTTGTCAATCGGCCCAGTAGAACGGGAGATATAGCACTGTCCCTTTTTTTTTTTTTTTTTTTTTTTTTGAGCAGTGTACATGGAAAGTATCACAGGATTCCAGATCAAGACGAAATTTTTTAGATTATATTTTAAGATGTATGATATGAGCTACTTTTAAGGTTGCAATCATTTAGCCCTAGAATCCGAAGAAGAACTATTGTATTTTTCAGTTCCTTACAGACATACAGAAGATTATGGAGGAATTCTAGTCATGATTTACATACCTCAGTAGCATAAATAGCTATTATTACATTATTTATTAATCTACACAGTACTGAACCATTAACCATCCGGGCAAAGCTGTGTCTTTCGAATACGGATAGGGAAAAAAGGACGTGTTCTTCAGACGTTTTCTGCTTGTAATAGGAAATGACGTCAAATATTTGTTAGTATGTATTCGTGTGAAAGTTTCTCAAATGAAAAATCTATTAAATATCATTATACAGGTTATGCCATACTTTGCTCTCTACTAAATCTTCTGCGATTCGCAATTTCATAAATTGACATTACTTATGTAAATGATACTTACCAGGCTCATCTATCACACTTGATGAGTAAGTTACTATTAAAATACATAATTACATATTTTCCTGTAATTTATTTTCAACTTTGATGCGGAAATATTTAATTTTAAGCTGCCGCCTTTCACACTGTAAGTAAATGAATTTGTGGTTCTGACGCTCATTAGAGTTGAACACTCCTGTTATAGACTATTTATTTTTGAAATGAAAAAGTGCGTATTTTGCTTCTATGGTGAGAAATGGAATAATGTTAAAATTTCTTAAAATCACTTTCTAATAAACTTGAATATAGTACAACTTTGAGAAACGAAAATTTAAATAACAGGTATAAGTGAAACATTTTAAAGAAATACCGTTTTGCATTTTAAATTTAAATTTCTTTCTTTAATTTTATCTTCTGTAATAAAAATTACATTACTGCTGATGATAACTTTAAATGAGTGTTGTTAGCAAAATAACTTTTCTTTACACGTTGTTAAATTACCTCTTGGAAATGTCGCTATATATAAAAGCTGATTGCTTTATAGATAACACTTTGGTTCAGGGAAAAAAGCTTCTGTACTGTCTTTAAAACCGATCGTGTAAAAAAATGTTAAAATTAAAATTTGAGCCATTTTCTCTCAAGGGAAAAAAAGGCTCAAAGGATCGATTTAGAGGTCAAACGAAAATTAATTTCATTAAATATAGGATCCAATTTTAAGAGTTGAATGAATGGAATAAATTTGAAACCATTGCATCTAAATTAAAATATTTCTACCGTAAAAAGTATCTTTTAGAAATATAAATTTAAAAACTATATATATATTCGTATATGGTCCACCAATATCTCTGGTGACTGTTACGACAACAAAAAGATGAAGATTATTTGATTGATTTTGCTTTAGAAAGATTCGGTTGAATGTCTTTCTTTGTTTAATTCGGCTGTAAAAATCTTTTTCTCATTGAAGTTTTTTTTCCCTTATGAGGTCCATATAAATATTTAAGTTTAGCATATTTTTTTAAAACGCATCATGTGAAGAAACTTACTGTAGTCTGAAGGTCTTTTAAGTTTGATTATTCTCTTAAATTGAAACCATCAGTCTACGTGAAGTTATTCACGGCATATTTTAATTGAGCAATATCTTCAAGTAATGCATTATTTGTAGACTATTATTAGATAAACTAAAATATTAATGTACTACGCTCATACACGTTCTGCTTGCTCACTTTTAAAGTACGTGGTTTAACTTATAGTTCGATATTTATTTCAGTTTTAAAGAGTACTAAAAGTAATGCTTTTTAAGATCACTTTCGCTGAAAATTGCTCTTCATGGTCAAGTGTCACTTAAACGTTTCAGAAAAGATTTGAAAGGCAATGCTTAACTTTTTTTTTTTTTTTTTTTTTTTTTCAGGAATTCGGAGAAACTCCCGGATATCTTGTTAAGCGTAGAAAAGATATTGAATACTCGAATGAAATGTTGCAGAAGTCATCTGAAGAAGAACAATTAAGAAAATTGAGCGAAGAGGAAAAAGACACCCTTATTGAAGTAATTATGAGATTTTTTATTCTACTTAGTTTTAAAGAAAGCATAAGTTAATGAATTATACACAACTCGACATCTGATTAACCGGAACTAAAGACAGAAAAACAGAGATAATTTTTTTTTTTTTCCTTTTTTCTCTCAAAAAAATAGTAATCGAAAATTCGGTTTATCGATATTAACATTGTGAACATTACTTTATAATAACATATCTCGAAACTGTCAAAATTCTGCATATAGAAAGAATATGAAATTTCCGAAATGTGAATTTAAAACGAAAAAGGATGCTATTCTAATGTGCGTTTAATCGACTTTCGGCTATACTGTAGTAGCATAGAACATCTTAAATAAGATACATCTGGTCAATTATAAGAAAATAATGTCTGGTACGATGCATGTTAATATGTGCAGAATAAAAACACATGAATTCAAAGCTAATGATCAAAACTAATAGTAGTATACGTAATAGTACTGGCTAGAAATTTTCGATGCTATAGTATGCAAAAGATTTTCAGTTTAATGAGACAAGTCATGAATTTGTAGCTTTAACACAAGGTCCAATTAAGACAGTTGGCGGCTCTAGGGACAGTGCTTTATATAGGTTTCTTTATAAAGCGTTCAGGCGAAGGTTTTATAGCCACAACTAGCCTAAGCCGAACTTCCGATGATAGGCCACCAACCTTTGTCACGGAAACTGGTATAAGGATCTTGTCTAGATATTTCTAATTTTTCAGCTTTATACCAGGATTGTATAAGAATACATGGAGTGACATTCAGTCGAAGATTTCGCTGAATCAGTTGCATATTCGCGCGTGTGGAACTTTCCTTTTCTAATTGGCAAAGGCTTAAACCCTGTTCCGTAGAGGTGAGCTAAGCTAATGACTTTTACACCTTACGATAATGATAATTATGACAGCTATACCACCGTCTGGAAGTTTTTCTAATGATCACTTTTCTTATTTTCGTGTCAGAAAAACAAGGTTTTGATTAAGTATAGTATAATTTGGGCCTCTTGAGACTTGAATCCCTAGGTATTACGTAATTAATCAACTACTGTTGATCGAAGTTGTCAGAATCCACTGACGTATGCAGGTTCTATTTATATTCATTAAAAAAACAAGAAGAAAATACATTTACCTGTTCTGATGCATTGTTGAATCTGACGTTATGTTTCAGCTGGAAATCTTCTTAAAAAAACACAATTCTATTTCTTGACATCACATTTTATTTACATAAAACATTCAAAAGGAAAGAATTAAGATTTAAATACATTTTCTTGTACAGCCTCTCTTTTTCTTTTATGGCTGTACGAAACAATTTATCCGTCCATCACACGGATTCGAAACCGAACTATCTACTCTTTACAAAAAAATAAAAATAAAAACAAAAGTTTGATTTCTCTTACTAATGGAACCTCTAGCGCCCTCTAGCGAGGGAAAGACACTTTAGATGAACATTTAACAGGCTCCCACCTTTAATTTATGGTGGAAGCCAGAAATTAAACATTAAAATTAAATTTACATCATTACTCAAAAATAATAGAATGAAATAAAACTAATATCTATGAAAATTTCAAGCCAAAAAAAAAAAAAAAAAAGTTAAAGTTCTAAAATTGAGTTGTGAAAAGTGTTCATACTGTTCATCAGCTGGTTTACTGGGTCATCGTTCTTAGATATCTCCAAATGGCAAAGTTTACGAATCGGTCGTACAAAAGTTCCTGAAGAAGTTTTTACCTCTGCCACACGTGTACAACCACCTCTACTTGGAAACAATTTTGTGACTTTCCCTATTGGCCAGTTAAGTCTCTTTCGGTTGCCTAGTTCAATTAGTACTACATCACCCGTCTGGATCACTTGAGCCTTTTCTCTTGACTTTTGAAGGAGATTTGCCAAATATTCTTTTCGAAATCTATTTCTCAATTGATCTTTTATATTATGGCATTTCCGGTATCTTTTTCGAAGTTTCTGGAAATTAATTTTCTCTAGATCAGGTATCCCAATTTCTTGGATGTCTTGAATAAAAGATGATGGAGTCAAAGGAATAAATTTATCAGATTCTTCTGAAATACATGTAGAGGTCGATTATTCATTACAGTTTTCAACTTCACATAATATCGTTTTGAAGGTCTTAAACTGATTGATGCATCTTCAATGCATTTTTGAATAGATTTTTTACTTCTGCGATGTTAGCCGATTCAGCAGAAATAATCCAATAATTTTCTCGCAGGATGGAACCAATAGTCTGGAGACCAGCATGGCAGTCTTTAAAAGGCAGACTCGTATTAAACAATTTACTACGTGATGTTTTGATGGCAACAAAATTGGAACTGTATTTACAGTTCCAATTGTTTTGGTCCAATTACAGTTTTGATGGCACAGGTTTGAATAAAATTCGTCATCACGCTCTAACAGCTTGGTTTTTCACTCGTATTATGTTATTTTGATCTCTCACAACAACGAGACCATTTGACAGTATCTGAGACATCACCAAAATTTTCTAACTGAATTCTCGACCAAAAGAACTTCTCTGCCTCTTTCTTTTCTTCGATCGAGAGCTCAGATGGGAAAAAATATAATTTCTATCTATTCTACATTTGGATATGAAACTTTTCATCCAACAAATAATATTTACAAATCTGCAAAATTTCGAAATTGCTTTCATAATTCATGAATTGATCTACTTTTGCACACGAGTAAATAATAATATTGCAGTTTCCATTCATTCTGACATAACTAAATATTCATTAGGAACCTGTTCTGACTTAGGTACCAGTTATTTTCTTCGTCCTTTTAACCAGTTTGGTCCCTCCCACCATCTCGTCTCGATAAGGTGTCTTATTACAACCACGAGATGGCAGGTCCGCCGGATTTAGATTACCTGGGACAAGATATCATTGGTATGATTCTGTGAGTTTGCATATTTCTCTGATTCTGTTACCCACAAAAGTACGCATTGGTCATTTCTCGTATCCATGCTTTTAACCGTGAAGAGTCCGTCCAGTAATAAACTGGTATTGTAGAACATCCAGAGCCTCACGATATAGTTTGCTAATCTGGCTCCCAAAACACAAGCAAGAAGTTCTAGACGCGGGATTGTCAAAGTCATTTTTGGCGCAAGTCGAGATTTTTGCCTAGAAGCTGTACCGAAATCCTATTATTATTTTCACAGCGCAGGAAAATTACTGTTGCATATGCATTTCTGACTCGCGTCGCAAAAAACATGATACCATTTTCTTTATTTCCGTACCTATGCGTCTGTTTGCCTTCAAGTTAGATATTTGTTTCAATTCACTATACCATTTCTGAAAGTCCTTTTGGATCTTCTCTGGAAGCGGGGAAATCCCATTCTGACTTAGCTGACCAGGCCTCCTGAATCATTAGCTTGGCTGGCAACAATGCTGGGATGAAAACCGAGGGGATCGTAAATACCTTGTGTTATAGACAAGATCTTCCGTTTAGTAGGATTTTCTGTTTCAGCGTCAAATTTATTGCTGTCCATTAAACAATCCTCCTTTCTATCCCATTTAATCCCTAAAAACGAAACTGGAGTTGTAAGATCTTTAAACAAACTTCTGTTCTCAGTTGACAATTTTTCTATTCTTCTACCGGACCTGAACTGCCATAATCTCAAATCCATCTTAGCTTCAGCCTAATTTCGTTGACTTTGAGATAAAATCTTCTAATTCGGATGCACTGTCTACGGAGGTTTACGCAGTTGTCAATATAGAAACACTTCAAGAGTTGTCAGTACTGTTTGATTGTTGTGGATACTTGTTCAAAGGTATCTTATAACCGCGCTGAGTAAAAAAGGGCTACAAGTAGCTCCAAATAATACTCTGTTATGTTGATAAGACTTTAATTTTATTTGCTTTCTCCCACCATAAAAATCGCAGAAATTCGGCGATTTTCTTCCTTAACTTCAGTTTGGAGGAAGGCTCTTCTGATGTTCGGATACAACAGCAATAGCCTTTTCTCGGAATCTCATAATTAGCGGGAATTTCTTCTATCAAGTTTGGTCTTGAAGAGACAGTCATTTAAGGATGGTGCTCTTCCAACTTTGCACGAGGCGTCAAAAACTGGTCTGATAGACGTAGTAGCACTCTATGGCTTAGTAACTGGATGGTGACACAAGTAATGGCCTCCTACTTCTTCTAGTTCCTTTTTTGAGACTTCCTGTATGACATTCTCTTTTGCCATTCTTTAAAGACTAGGTCATAATCTTCAAATTTACTTAACTTCTTCAGTCTTCTTGTAGTGCTAAACAACCTTCTTTCTGTGCTTCATTTCTATTTGAAGGAATGTTTGGGTTAATACAAGTCCATGGAAGACCAACACGGTAACGGCCGTCTTCACTTCTCGTAAGTTCTTTGAGGAACAAATCATGGGCTAGCTCTTCTTCTTCCTTCTTAGATAACGTTTCAGCGGGATCATTAATTCCTATTGTTCTCTAGCCGCCATAAATCTGGAATGCTAAGTTCTCTCAGAGATAAATTAAGTCATCAACGATAGCTGTACCATTATTCACGTAACCTTGGGATGGATTCTCTTAACTCACCGCAAATTGTCCATCCAAGTTTTTTTTCTGAATTGCCGTTAGACCGTTGTTCAGCTGCTTGATTCATCCTGTTAGGAGTTGGCCATAAACATCACTGCCAATTAAAATTTTTATTTCAGGACAACCCAGTACCAATATCTGACATCCATAATCTATGCTTCTTAAGCTCTTGTAGAACAGACTCCTTTGGAATGCATGGAATGTTCCCACATATCTTTTCTTGGTCAAGGAATTTGGTTGTTGTGATAACAGATTTGTGACCATTACCCGGTGCACTAATTTAATTTTTTATATTTATTATGAGATTTAGCTTCTATTTCTGTTATACCTCCAAATACCGTGTGGGTAATAGTTGCTGTAGCGAGAGGCTTAAGACCAAGTTCTTTCGCTGTGCTCTTTAAAATATAACTCCTTTGGGACCCACTGTCCAATAGTGCCCTAACCTTCTTAAT